TAGTAGTAGTAGTAGTAGTAGTAGTAGTAGTAGTAGTAGTAGTAGTAGTAGTAGTAGTAGTAGTAGTAGTAGTAGTAGTAGTAGTAGTAGTAGTAGTAGTAGTAGTAGTAGTAGTAGTAGTAGTAGTAGTAGTAGTAGTAGTAGTAGTAGTAGTAGTAGTAGTAGTAGTAGTAGTAGTAGTAGTAGTAGTAGTAGTAGTAGTAGTAGTAGTAGTAGTAGTAGTAGTAGTAGTAGTAGTAGTAGTAGTAGTAGTAGTAGTAGTAGTAGTAGTAGTAGTAGTAGTAGTAGTAGTAGTAGTAGTAGTAGTAGTAGTAGTAGTAGTAAGGTCCTAGCTGCTAGGTTAAACGGTTGTAAGGTATGTTCATGTGAAAGCGTAATGTGTTGATCCATTTCCCACGGCATGACATCATCCAGGTGCTCCTCTTCGTCATGCACATGGCCTGTGCACTAGGCCAGCTGCAAGCGCAAGGTGTAGGGGTTTGGTCAACAGCTTTGAGCAGTGGCTCCAAGAGTGAGCAGGGGAAAATCGCCAGGTTGGGCCATAAAACTGTGTTGCGCCCCTCAAGTTTGGGGCCAATTTGAATAAACCACCACTTGAGATTTCGACCAACAGTCTTGACGGGGATGTGCCGTTCCCTCTTCGGGTGCGATCCTGGGATACAACCAGGCGTCCAGGAGTAGAGGGCCCTCGGTCAAGCCCTATTTTTGGCACGGTTTTGGTCAAGAAGCCCGTTGTCGGTAACATACGGTTTAAGTGGCCCTTTGTCTTTGAGTCTTTGAATCTCATTGACAGTCTGTGCTAAGCTCATTGGCCCATCCTGCATCACCGTTCTCAGGGAAAAGGAGGAGCGACTCCATTGGTAATGGAGGGGTTCTGTTTGTTCCAGGAATGTTCTGGGATAGGGAAGATCGGCACGAGGTCCCTGGGTGTAGTTATGTATTATGTACTGAACGGCTACTATTGCGGGTTTCCCTCTCGCTGGAAATTGATGCAGAAGTACTCATCTATTCACTGTGATAACTGACACAGGCTGCGGCTTGCGGCGCAGCAACACGATCTAAGAAGACACAGGGTAGAAGTTGTGGGATGATTTCAGCCGGGCTGGTGGTGTTTGCCAAGTTTGAGGCCAAGAGTGGCCAACGATGCACCAATGGATAGAAGGCAGTTCATTGGACACCCCTAAATTATATATGGCTCATCTCTGTGGACTCATGCACCAAAACCCATGCGCGAGAACCAAGAACGCTTCAAACATCTTCAAACTATGTGGGATGCGGTGCTTCCTTCCCTCCTTCTCCACCTCCAAAGTCGACACACTTGGGATGTGGCCACACTTGGAGGCTTTGTCCTCTACTTTGAGATGATGAAGTGGGCCGTGATGGGTGCTGCGGGAGTCGCCCGCCGGTCTACGACACGCCGTCATTCCGGTCCGGGACGGTGGGTGGCGAGTGGTCTGCCTGTGAGGTTCCGATACGAAAGGGTGACATACCATGTTGATAATAGATTTATATGTAACATAATATAGTATAACATATTCATAATATACATATATATATATATACATATTGTTTGTTATATATATATACCTAAATTTCATTGTGTGCGCTTATTTTGTTAATTCTGTGGCATACCAAACGACAGGTTGACCTCGGGACCTTGGTCATTGACTTGAGCTTTTGACGCTTAAGGCACGCTCCATAAGTATTGAAGAATCACTCAGCAGAGATGGTGTGCAAGCCGAGTCGGGCAGGGTTCATTTTGAAGAGTTGGTGCAAGACATCATGGTGCTGGATTGACACTCTATTATATCATCATGTCTATGTTTGTACCTAGAATTCCCCCGGACGGATCTATGAATTGCGGACTTCAGAAATGATCTTCTATATACATGTCAGATCCTTTGGATGCGTCCAGCTCGGACACAGGGCAGCTTGAAAATCGCTTTCGTCGTCGAAGCCTACGCGGCTGAGGTAGTCTTCGCCGGGTTCTATTTGTTTGTTTGGTACCAGGCCAGTCTGACGTCTGGCAGGAGCGTTTGTTTTTACAGTGGACCTCGATCCTATTTGCACTAAACCACCAAAGCAGAGGATCTGAGCACAGTCAAGCCAGGATCACGCGCTAAATTTGATGTGTTTGGGCGTCAGTCCAAACAAACACCCGCTTTTTTCTGACAGCCTTGTTTCTTCCTGCAACTCCTTGGACACATCCAAACTCTTTGGAGGACAAAAATTGCTTGAGGGCATAGCTTCATGTCAATTTTTACCATCCATGGAAGCAAAGCAATAGAAGAAACGCTTCCTACAAGAGTCGACCCCGCAAAGTGACCACGTTGCACGCCTTCCAAAACACTCGTTTGGGAATGCAAACGCGTGAAAAGGGTTCGACGGTTCGGGGTTCCCGAGGGAACCAAGTTCTGTTTGCGCCATGTCTGTGCGCAGAAACCTCAAGAGCTAACTGTTAAGCTTGCTTGCTTCGATGTCTTTTTCCAGCTTGACAAGACGGGGATGGAAGAACGTGGAGGGACTTCCTGCAGAATTCCCTCCACTCTATTCCAGTGATGTGAAAATAACATGGTCCTACCGTGGTGTCACCCTGTTTCTTTCTTCTGTCTTGGCCTCCAGCTGTCTCTTTCAAGGAGACGCTGGACAAAGACAACACCCCTCGAACGAAAGACGCCGTCGAGTGACACGCCTCAGAATCTGAATGACGCAATGACATAGATACTGTAGGATCCACTCCCCTACTAGCTCCCCATGCCCTACTAGGCAGCGGACAGGAATGACAGCTTGCCCGGCTTGACAGGGGTTGCCTGGGGCCCTTACAGTTGGGTCCCAGCAACCATGAGGACGTTGTTGAATGTTGAGGGTCACCTGTGATGCTTTCTGTGGTTTGTCTCCGTGGACTCTTACAACAGGTGTTTCCTGTGGTTCTTGGTGCCCCCCCCAAAAAGCTCAATAGTAGGCTTCTAAATCCACCTGTGGGAAGGTCTCGGTATGTGAACAACATATTGGAAGACACATTTGTCATGGGCGATCATGGTGGGTGAAGAATTCCCAGAGCAACTTGCGGTAACGTTTCAAGAGTAGTTTAACACATGAGTAAGACATGTATCAGTCAGGAGACCCCGTTTGGGGTGGTGTTTGGACGCCTCAGCTAGGTCTGCCGGGATGGGAATCGAAATAGGGCCCAGGGGTCCACTCATTATACTGACTGGCGGGTGTCTTAGCGGGTTCAGAGGCCTGCCACTAGATGTATACTTCACAAAAGAGGCTTTTTTTACCAAATTGGCAGCCAGACAGGACCATCAGACCATAGACCTCCCTGGACGACCTTTGTCCGAAGCTGTGCAACTCCTTCCGCAGCCAAACAGCTTCATCGCCGCTCTTGGTGGGTCTTTAGCAAAAAGCGGGACCCAACCATGCGGTGGCCACTGGACGATGGTGTGGATGGTGTGGGACAGATGGGATGGGTTGGACTGGTTTGCCACGTCCAGAGCTGCTTTTGCAGAAGCGATTTGAAGTAGAAGTCGCCATAGAATGGGCCCATTCCTGGACTCCCAAAAGCCTCTACGTTTAGCTGAGTCATATGGGTCACGTCCGATGATTTGTCCCCCAGAGCTGCGATTTTTGACGCTCCCTTTATACTCTGAAAACACTCCTTTGACCGCCAGTTGCCTTATTGCTTTCTTCACAGGTGCCAAAGCTACAGGTGTTTTGCATATCCAGTCAAGGTGTCCAAATGTTCTCCCTACTAATATCCATGTTCTACGGCCAGATCATGTTCTAGATCATGTCAATTGAAAAGGCTTTAGACTTCACAGCTCTTCAAGCGCTGCTCGCGCAGAATTCATGCAGCACCCCAGGTTGTCCGTCCTACTTTGCATTGCACAAATCTCCAGCGCTGTCGGACTGGATATTACAGTGACCAGTACATCAAGGACCGGGACATATAGGGACTGGGTCGCGGACTGGGTCGCGGATGTCGTGGGCCGTGTGTTTGTGGCACAGCACAGGGATGCAGTGAAGTACTCATTGGCTTGAAAGAAAGCTCTTAGTGCATTTCTATAGTTGAAGGACTCTATATTCAGGTATGTACATGTACATACACCAAAAACATCAAAAAATCACCTTAGAGCATTTTGGAGGGAAAAATCGTCTGTGCTAGTTGCCAAGTTGATCCCTCTACTGTATAGTGTAGCCTTGTCCACTTGGCCCACATGGCCCTTTCGCTGCACATGTCTTTGCCACAGTGCCATCCTCGCTCAACCTGCAGGCTTGCGTTCGTTCGAGGCTCCAGCCTCCTTCTTCCGCGCTGTTTGCAACACGGATCTCGTGCTCCTGCAGGAGCAACGGCAATTCCGTGGACTTCGTGGTGGATGGTCAATCTCTCCAAGTGCAGTCTGCGCGCGGGAGCCTTGGCCGCATTGGACTGAAAGAACCAACTTACAGGATTTGGGGCGGTTAGATGACTTGTCTTCAGACGAGACCATGAGGACCGGAGGTGAGACATGCTGAGACCCCTTTTTGGAGGTTGCGCTTTGGGATTGACGTCGGATGGGCCCTTTTGGAGACCAATTCACCAGGTGCGTTTCCGGCGTGAGCTTCCCCCTCCGCCCTCGTGGTGGGTTTCTTGGGCCTCTCGGGTTCAGATTGACTTTACAGATCAGGATTGGTGTGGGGATCTATTTTGTGGGGATGTGGGGATCTACCCATACCTAAGCAATTCCTCAGAGAACTTTTGTGGAGATCTTTCAGGTGAGTGATGTGTGATGTGTCAGGTGGCCCATTCATGTTTCTTTCTCGGACATTTTGCGTAATAGGGCAGTATACAGTATACAGGGGATCTATTTTGTGGGGATCCCATACATGAGCAATTCCGAGAACTGTGGAACAAGCTGTGTACCCGGTCGCCAGACTACGTCGGTTTCACCTGGATTGACGCTCATCCGATGCTTCAACTTGTCCATCTCGGAGAGTTTCGGGGTGTGAAAACAGGGTCGTGGTGGTGGTGACATGTGGTGACATTTTCGAGCAGAAGACACTACTTGTAGCTCTACGTGGCAGACTACATCCTTTTGTTTCCTCCGTTTTCAGTTTGTCATTCAATCCCTCCTCAGTCAAGAATTTGTCCAAGCTAAGCCAACCTATGTACATACCATGTATGATGTTTCAATGATATTCAACCAACCCACGTCATTCATTCGTGACACGGGGAAGCGCCAAGCATGACCTCCATGCGTGGCATGCCGTGCGGAGTGCCATCCATGAGCCTTGAAGGATGAATGTCGCAGTCATCGATCCGGACGGCGGCTCATTGCAATCCTTCCAGGTGAGGCTCCGTGGACTCCGTCAGACCGGGTTTTCCTGACGTTCCTGGTGACACGTGAACGTGAGGTGATGAGGTGAAGGCACCCAGAGATTTGCTAGGAAACCAGAGTCTTTATAGAAGAACCCTTAGTTTTATATACGATGTTTTATATACATATTTTACAAAAACAGGTCAACCATTCGTCGGTCCACGGCTTTAGTCTTTGGAACCAGTGGTTGCCTATTGTAGTGGTGATTGGATCCACTGAGACAGGTACATGTTGAAGAAAGACTTCACAGTTCTGCGGATTGGGCCATTTTCACCTGAACTGGGTGCATCCTCCAACCTGCGGATCTCTTTTTGTCTCCGGCTCCTGAATTAAGCAGATCCAAGAATACACTGACACCACCTGAGATAGGGAACCCCTGGGAGTTGCAGTCCACCATTGTTTAAAGGGGGTCTCTCTGACCTAAGACCTATCGGTCTTGACAACTTAATTAGTGCCAGGCCCGGGTCCATGAGTTGTCATTGCTTTTCAGGTGAGAAGCTTTCAGAGAAAAATTGCTTCCGTCATACCATCAACGCCACATACATCCACATTCCATGGAACTCAAAGACCCTTGCCGGTCCCGTCCTTCGGATGGGTGGCTGCAGTTCGGATGCGTGAATGAATGGTGAAGATTCCAGTCCCCTACGGATTCGATCTACAGACGTCTATATAGGGTCCGAACGTGGGGTACCGAACTGGGATAGTCGAATCTGGGTCCTTCAACCTCTGTTGGTACAACCCAAGCCATCCGCATCACCATCACGAACAGCAAGTACAAGCTTGCAGGGCGACGGGCGACCCCGCTCTTTTGCCAGGCCCACACTTGTATATCAACATTCCCCCCAGAGCTCCTCTAGGGCTCAATTCCCGAAGACTCTTGGCCAGGCCATTTCCATAAAACCACCACATTGAAAAAAGACCTGCAGCCCGTGCCTGAGCCCCTTCCCCCATCCAAAAAGACCCCACAAACCCGTCTACCTCGCTCTCCGCATCTCTCTGCCTTCCCTCTCCGCGCCTTCGCTCCGCGCGGTCCCAAGCAGGTCTTCGACACCCATGCGGCGGGGTCCGAAGCGCTGGCCGCGTTCGTGGCCGCCCAGCCCAGCGGCTCGCTGGTGCTCTTCGCCGCGCGCCGGGGAAGCCCGGTGGAGTGGGGCGACGGGAAGAGGTCGGAGGGGAAGAGGTATAGGAATTCTTCATTTTTGGGATCAACCAGGTTGAGGCCGGAAGATCTGAGGTGGAGGCCGGAAGATAGGGTGGAGCTGGGCTTCTGATAGCTGCAGGCTTGATGCGAGGATGCGAAGCAGGTTCAGGTGTTTTGGTTTCTTTGTTCAGGTTACACCATGCTGAACCCTCCCAAACATCGCATAACAAACTCACCCGAGGTAGAGGAAGAATCGTCTTCCTCGTTCGGGAGGGTGCCTGACTCAGTCGGTGCAGGTTCCGCAGCGACCCCACGGAACCGACACGCCGGGGCGAACGGGGCGAAGAAGGGGGCCCAGTCCGTCCGCCGTCCAAGAAGACACGAAGACTGGATTCCTTTGGAACCAGGGCTTTTGGCCCAGAAATGATATACACCGATGAATAGCTCCAATGCTAGAGCAACCAAGAACCATACAGACAACATGGGTTCAGGTCGCAGGCGCCGAGCAGCGGGTATGGCTGGGAGGGTCGCTGGTGTCAAACGGAACCGCGCAGCAGGGGCGTCAGCGCCGACTGCATGGCCAGAATCCCATGGCCAAACTGCGAGATGACACGCACCAATTGGTTGAGGCTACCATCGAAGTGGCCGAACCAAACGGTGCAAGACAAGGGGAGCTCGGAGAGAGGCCACGCAGAAGTGACATTTGCCACTTCTGACAGGCTGAAAGCCGCTTGAGTCTGGACATAAACGCGCCACATGGTTCGAGCAAGCACATGCGACTCAGAATCCACTGGCAGCACATCGTGCGCACAGCCTCCATCTTTTGATTCGCGCTGAAGGTCTCCCCTTCCCTTCGGAGATGGAGGGCCAGCTCGCATCGAGATCCTCACCACTTGTACAGCGCACCGAAGCAAAGCGACGACTTCAACGCGGTGCCAACATTTGAGGGACTGTTGGAATGCCAGAGAATGATCAGCTTACATCAGCTTTGCTTAGCATTTCAGCATTTCAGGGCCTTTTGAAGTTGGTTGGGGTCTTCGCCTTCCGATTGCGGAGGTACTTAGAGGCCCAGCACAGTGACATTAACGCGTCCGGTTCCACGCTGCTTTCACGAAAAGAAACATGTTGGAGGGTTTTGGAGTTCTTTTGTTTATGTTTGTTGGTGGGTTTGTATGCATACATGTTAGAACAAGATGTCCTGAAGTTTTGTCCTGCGCGGGTGTTGAATCCATGAAATACATAGATGTCATGTTCTCCATCGATGTGTCCAGAACACGGTCTCTACAGCCACCTCATGAGTCGTCGACACCGAAAAACAACCTACGACTGCGTACGATTGCTATACAGTCTGACCGTAACTCGGATCAACACCGGTGTGGCCGTTCGGCAGTTCGTTCATGTAAGGGTGGTGAAACAGTTTGATGCGAAACCTTGGGAGGATTGATTTTACTGACTCAGGCTGACTCGTTCGTGAGGAAAAACATCTGCCAGACGTCTAAACGATGACGACGATGGATGGTTTTCCTATATTTTGCGCTCCAATGGACGTGGTGCGTTGCGTTGGACGCGAGGTGATGATGCTCAAAGCAACATGACGCAAGCTGCCAAGGTGCCCGACTCAGAGATGGTGACATGATAATTGACGTGCGTGGGTTGGTGAACATGATCAAGAACTTTGCTTCAGACCTGGAATTCTTAAGGATGAAAGAAGAGCAGGAAATAGACTAGGCTGGACAAAAGAAAGAACGGAATTCATATATACCTGCAGTTTCACAGGGGTGGTTCTTAGACTCATCCAGTAAGTGGATGTGAATTCGGGGGACCCCGTTCACCTCCGTTCGTGCGGCACCCCGAAATGGAATGGTCGGGTTTTCTCACGGTCAAATGTGGCTTCTTGCTCCTAGTAGTGATGCCCTTTGTATACTAGTAGCTTCTTGTTAGTAGTGGCGATGGCCTCCAACCTACTTGCGATGGCCTCCACCTAGTAGCTTCTTGCTGCTAGTAGGAATGCGCTTGTTACTAGTAGCTTCTTGTTGCTGAAGCCGTTTGTTTCCCAAGATGGAAGGCGTCATCGGATGTGGAATGCTCGGATTGAACCAGCCTATTCGCCGCATTTTTCGGGCACGGGTGTCCACCCGACAGACACGTGGAAACATGTGGAAACACAGAGAAAACACCGTGAATCCATATTCTGTTCCTGTAATATGCCTGGGGAGAATACCTGTATAACGGTCTTTTCGGAGATGCTTCCGGTGGAGGGACTCATCTGTGGCCTTCAAAGACCATAAAAGGAAAGATTGACCTGTTGGAACATGGTGGAAAGTGGGACATGGTAAAACCATGGTTGTTCAATGCATCTCCATCTATCCCAATGCCCATCAATCCATGTCGTGTTTCATTCCCCCAATGCGGGCGGCGGACTTCGCTGGTCGTTCCGTAAGCCCCCAGCACCGATGGAAAGACGAATCGATCGCAGGATGCCATCAAGAGCTGCGGCGGAACCATGATCGAGAGCCTTACCTACCGGGGATCCTATGCCTTGATTGGTGTAAAGGATGGCACCTTGGAATACTTTGGAGCATTTGGTGATATGTTGGTGGAGTATGCAGGAGTGGGCGTAACTTGGATTATATCACAGTATATCATATCAGCTTATACACAAATAGATATTGACTATGACTGTGATATGTGAAGATTCCCCTCATTGAGACACCTGAGACACCTGCTCTTTTTGGGGGTATGTGAACTATGGAGGACCGATCTTGAAATCACAAACTGTGCTTGTTGAAATTCATGTTTCTTCATGTTTCAGATAAATCCTTGGAACACCGGAACACCTAACCATAACACAATCCCTTAAGTGATGATGTCAATGGGAAACTGATGGGACATCATTCGGGGTTTGATGGGAAAGCCTCCGGGGTCAGGGACCAATGGGCTTGGAAGTGAATGCAATTTAAGCTCACTTGGTGAGCATCATGCCTGGTAGAAAGAGATCCGATTTGAGGGTCCGGGCCTAGCGGGTCAGGGTGCGCTACCAATGCCAAGGTCTGTTAGACTGCATCAGAGGAAGCTTGGTGCTTGGTGTTCTACACTGTGTGTTTCTGGCTATTTTTTGCTGCCAAAATCACTTGGAAGACATGCCTTGAGACACCAAACATCGATCAAGTAGCTGGTCTGGCCTCACAGACCAGATTGCAAATGCAGCATTAAACACTGTATAGATGCTAAGCCTTACACCACGAATGGAAGGCGAGTTGGGTCTCTCTTAAGCTTCAGCAGCTGCTTGTCCAGCACTACTCGGACGTGGGGAGGCAACAACCAACCTTTTGCTCAAACGTCATCTGGCTCTGGCCAAAAAGAGGTCAATCCGATCAGGAGCTCAACTCCTCCCTTCCGTTCCCATCCTCACAGTCAGTTCCCTCTCTAAATGACCCGACGATTTGTGGGTTTTTCCCACTCCAAATCCCCCAACAGCTGCGGTCGCAGCACTGCAGTGCCACTCGTCCTTTTGACCTCCTAGGCACTGCGGTGGACGAAAAGAGCTTCGAGGACGGAGGAGACATCGCAGTGGCTTCTGGGAGCTTTGCCCCAACGCAGAGCAATACCATCAAGGTCACACGGCATGGAAGCATGACCGTTGACCGGATAGACCATGCCCTTTTCAGCTCCTGTCCCAGATCCTCAGGTTCGGGGCAGAGACGGCCGTCTCACAGACCTGCCCTAAACTCCGGAAACCATGAGGATGTGGGACAGGAGCTTTATAGGGCGTCTTGGAGAGGACTGCGTCGTGGGGTCGTGGGGGTCCTGGACACTGAGTCGATGAACCGCTGAGTCGGCTGAGATATGAAGAGCCATCTTCGAACGGCGGTGGGTGTGGATCGGTGGCACGTTGATAGACCAGATGTTGATAGACTCAAAAGGTGCAGCCATTTGGTCCAACCCAGAAAAGATCGGAGTGTCCAAGCTACAGGGTTGGGCACTCTCAAAGACCTGACAAAGATGCATTGTGCGCAGAGTTTGGATTAGTTAGTTATTGCAAAGAAGGTGTTCCTCGTGGTTCCAAGACTGCAGTTGGAAAGAGAGGCGTTGTATTTCACCATCAAAATCCAGAATATCAGTGATATCTGACTCGTTATCTCCAATCCAAAGACGTCGTGTCCTGTCTAGTCATGGGTGTGTTTGATTGACGTGCTTTGCCCATCAGGAATCCGCTGTCATGTCGTGTTTGTTTGGGTTTACGCAATGTTGTGGCAGGTACCCAGATACTAATTATGATGAGACAAGCCAACATGAGGAACAGTCCATGACGCGACAGCATTTATCATAATCTGCAAATCTGCCTATATTTTGATCCTATCATATATACAACTATATATATAGATATAACATGATATAACTATGTGATTACCAATCATAGAATATGCCAGGCCCCCCAAGGGTTGTCTATTCTTAGAAGGTCAATAGGGGTGTCCAGACCACACCACCCCGCTCTAGCTCCCGGTGAGCTCTCGTTTGTTACGCAGATCGACCGCGGATGCGATCAGGTGAACAGTACTTCGAGGACCGCTCGGCACCTCGTCCGTCGACGGTGCCGTCCGGGCGGAAGAAGCGCGACACATGCGGAGGAAGGCAATTGTGGGCCGACTCACCATGCTTTGAGCTCTCAAGGGAAGGGGGGGTTGAAGAAATATATGGATCAGCACCATGCTTTTGATCGATCACTGGATCCGAAAAACTCATGAAATCCGCCCATCGGACTCGGGCGTTGGGCCTTCGGGCCTGATCAGGCCGGCCATGCGTGTTCGGCGCCAGACCCATTCGTCGTGAAGCTTTGGACGGTGGTGATGGACTTGGAATCCCCCCAGTCGCCTAAGCCGTTGGTTTTGGAGTCGATGGAACCAACTGATTTGCCTTATAGTGTTGATCCAAGACATCACGACATTGGGCGAAGTTGGTTCCGGTCGATCTCGACAGAATCCTGGAGTCGTTTTTCGGATTCCAAGGTCCCCAGTCGGTGGGGGCGTCGTAAACGACGCCACCCCCATCCACTGACGCGCACCATGATGATTTCAGGATGAGTCCTTCAACCTGCTCCGCCCTGCTCCGCGACTCTTCCAAGTAGGTCGTGTCCGGTTGGTCAACCTACCTGTCCTGACCCACAGCCTATTTCTTATAGTTGGACCAGGGAGGAGAGCCCAAATCCATTGGGGGTTCCTGGATCCACTGACCTTCCGTCTGAGACAACCAAGGTTTACCTTCGCCATTCCAAAGTGTCTTCCACTCCCCTGAACATCTCGGCACTGACTGGTTACCGCGCGCGTGCGTGCGTTCGCGAACACGCCCCACTGGGCGAAGTCGATCGCCACCACCAGGAGCGCTGGTAACGAGGTGATTTTTCACCTAGACGGCGTGGTGCAGAGCGTTGCAACAGACCGTGGAATGAACGTGGCAGTCATCAAAGCAGGCGCGGCCATGCGGCATACCTCGCGCGCGGTGTTTTGGCGCGAGGTTGCTCGGTGCGTGTTTTGGCGCGAGGCATGTGCAACGTGAAATCAGACTTGAGAAAACAAGTTTGGCTTTGCAGGGTTCTATTGCGCTTCTTGAGAACATAGGACTTCCGTATCCAGTGCCTTTCTTTGTCTTGGAAAACATCACGTCACGGTCACGTTTAATTAGAACGAGTCCTTTTACGAGAGCCTTCAATGGTTAGTTTTGATAAGCCTTTCATTGAACTATATACTATTCCGTTGGCAAATCCTTTGTCATGAGGTGTTCTCTCGACACACTTACTCACTCAGCCTATGTTTCTAGAGTCTAGCTCATCGTTAGGGTCCCAGGGTCACTTTCCCTTCACATGCTAAGCAGACCCATCCTGGTTACTGGTGACCGGTTACCTTGCAAAGGCCTTTCAACATCTTTCAACATCTCATCCTTCCATCGTTGGGGTTGGGGAATGCCACGTCTGACGTCGTCGATCGTATCATCTCCGACATGTTTCTTCGGCCGTGGTGGTCTCAATAATTGAAATGTTTGTTCGAACATATTATAGTATTCTCCTTTCCAACAAGTCTTCACCCCTGCAAAATCCTGCAAATTGGAATCATCCTTTTTGGAAGGCACCATACTGACATATAATTACTATCAGACAGTTATACAAAACATTGCTCAACTTATTGGTTTCTCAAACCAACAGTTCTATGCAGTAGAAACTTCATTTGGACGTGTCCCTGTCAATCGGATTCTATCATGCATTGTTGACTGCAGGCAGGTAGAAAGCTCCTTTGAATGTATGAAACTGTAACTGAAACTGTTAGGTCAACAGTCAAAATATGCTTCACTTTGAACTCACCCTATTCCACTGGCCAAGCAACAACAGTTTGAACAAAGAAACTCGTTCAGAGGATTAGGTCTATGCACATAAATGCACAGTGGTTCATTGTATTTGTTGCTTGATGACCACAAATCCTACTGTATCCTCAAGAAAGATTTCAATTCCGAATCAGTTCACGAACTTTTGTTAGTCATTCTCCTTCATTGAGGTTCTTTCCTTACAGATCAATCGACTCACTCTCCCCCCTTTCCTCCAGAAACTCGTCCAATCTCGATAAGATTGCCTCTTGCCCTACATTTCTTACTTTTTGGCTTGGCTTTGTCCTTCTTGTCGCTATTGAAGATTGTCGACCAGCAAAGGGAGGAAACATTAATCAAGCGACAAAAAGAAGTTAATGTAATAGGATTGCTTGGACCCTACCTGTGTCTAGCAAACATACTTCCCTGCAAACTATATATAATAAATTGTATTCTCATTTGTCTCGCATCTACATACAGTATTACTAATATAGGTTCCTTTTCAGGGGTGGGTCATGTTTGCATTGTTTTCCGGTGTTTGGTCTAAGAGGTACTCATACCTCTCTGGAACCAAGAACCAACATCGCACCGAATTTTGGTGGGAATCTGGGTAGGTTTTACCTTGTCAATCTATGAACCCCCAGAGAAAGAGCTTGGTTCTTGCTTCTAGGTAGGTAATCACTTGTACTGGTTCAAAACTCCCCCAAGACACGTGGGTGGTCCAGGTAGGTGTTTTGTTTTGGCCAGTAGAGAGCAATCATCATATCTACTTGTCAGGGCTTACGGGCTTACCAGACATCCTTAAGATGTTTCCACGCATTTTGTCCTTTCAACAGTTTGTACGTGTTTGTTTCACATGTGAGTCAATGGCACCCTTGGTTTCACGCAACCCATCTCCTTCGTTTTTGTGGCATTTATTTCCCTACAAGTCAAATACCTCATGTTACTGGAGATGGCCATACGAACTAAATACTTAGGCAGGTCAAGACCATGACCTGGCTCAGACTGTCCATAGGGTGGTTGCAACCCGGACGGTCGCGCTCAGGACTCCTGGACTCCTTTCAGGTCTTCGACACCCACGCAGCAGGCGACCGTCCGACACGTGCCGTCCGTCCGACACGTCGGAGTTCGGTGGTCAGTTTCTGAAGGCCAGAAAGGACGGAAAAGGTGCCCGAAAAGCCATGAAAACCTATGAAAACCTAGCCTAACCCTCACATTTTTTGGGGGGAAACTGTGGCAAGAGTTTCACCAGTGAACTGACCTCCAGACTGAGCCTTGACAGGCTCAGAAGCTTTGGTGGCCTTCATGGCTGCCTTGCCGAGCGGCACGGTGGTTGCATGTGGCGTCAAGGACGAGGCCATGTCCAACATGAGTGCAGCAGCGAAAGATGCAATGAAAAGCTGCGCCTCGTCTTTGGCCGCTGAGTTGTCCTTCTTGCTCGTTTTGGATCCAAAAAGATTGGATGGACATTATGACGTTCAATTATTATACAGTTCCATTTGTTGGGAATTTGACTTGTCTATCCATATTTATTTCAAGGTGTATATTCATTAGAAATTGATCGCGCATGCGCAAGGTTCATGGACAGAAATCTAGGGCCATAATTTTTGAAAATGGTCGTGGGATCTCAAAATGCATATCTTGCTTGAACGATCACAACCGAACCAAACATGGTGATGTGAAGTAGAGACATGGATAATGATAAGACACTCAGCAAATCCGGATGACTTGCAACACAAACCATTTTCCTCACCTGCCAGTGTTTTGGTGAGAAAAGGCACCACTGGACCCTGGGGTTTCCAACTTTCCTGGAACCGGCCGGAACCGGAAAAACCGCGATCTAGATCGAGGTGGTGCCACTTTAATCGATTCGCTGAGCTACCGGGGGTCCTATGCGCTGATTGGTGACTCGGCGGCTGTTGGTCTTTGGGTTTTAGCGCTCCGGGTGTGAAGAACACCTCGAAACCAAGCAGGAATGTTCAGGAAAATGCATCCCTTTTTGGGGACCACTGGGACCCTTGGCAACTTGGGACTTGGGAACTGTTGGGGACTTGGTGCACGGTTGCCGTTTGATGGCACGGTGGAAAATGGATGAACAAGGGTGAATTTGGGGGGGTATAACACTCTCACTGCTACCCAGTCAGAGGATAGCCTTTAACCGTTTTTCGAAGATTGCAGAAAAAGTAAACCCTTTGTTTTCAAGGGACACTGAGGGAGTCGGCACTGATCATGAAGGGTCCCAAAATGTTAAGAAAGTGCTGCTGAGTTGCAGCATCCGGGACTCATGATTTTGGAGCAACGTGAGTCAATGGAAGCATGGGCACCTGGGCGCGTTGGGGGTGATCGTGTTTTTTTGTTAAACGTTGTTTTTTTGGTGCATCGCATGACTTTTCCAAATGGACTTGTACTTTGCACTGTCACAAGCACAAGACAACACCATGTTGGTTTCTGCTCATAATGTCCATACTCTTGATGAATGGCCCCCCCAAACATGGATTGCAAAGTCTCTTCAGGCTTGGGGGAATTTATTCATCAAGAGTCTACAGACAGCTCCACCGTCCAGTGCAGGTTGGCCCACCGCATTGACCACATAGATGGCTTTTGTCGATAGGTTGATGGATAGAGCGTACATACGTCTGGTGTTGAGCTTCCAATAGGTATAGACACTACATGGGACTGCAGTATATGCCGATCAGAGTGGTTGTTTCAGGCATCAATGGCACCTATTGCAGTCCCATGGAGTGTTTGGGATATGGTGACTACCCCAGTTCAACCCCTGATCTCCCTAGAAAACACGCTCCTCTTGTGACCAGAAACAGCGCTTTCATGTTCGGAAGTCCAGTGGTCTCCCTATATGTTCGATTATTTTAGCATATATACTCATACCCTAGGGATCCAAGTACCGTACCTCAGGTTCGGTACGACTGGACCCGAAACTGGCACCTACATAACATGGTCGAACACATCACCGTACCTGAGGAGAAGGTACGACTGGATCCCTGGGCATTTAGGGATGGATCAAGACCTGGAGCCCTCGTCTACCATGTACTCTTCACGACCGACACGGGGCAGGTCAACTGGTCGGTCTGGTGCACCCACGGCACCCACAGCCATATGCTACCTGGCATTCTTCCTTCCTCCAAAGGTTCCCTGTTCCCCCCACCAGGGCGGGGTGAATCACCGGGTCGGTCCTGCGTTACACGCCACGTGTCGGTCCAGGCATCAAAGATGGGCCCGCCCTCGCAGAGCAAACCTTGCCCGACGGACAAGCGTCCGTGGTCACTGCTCAGCTTCTTGGAGATGATCCGTCGACGAAAAGGGAAAGACGAGGGAAGGCTTGGTCGCGGAACATGGTCACGTTGAGGTGGAAAAACACAGGAGAAGACTCCTCACCTATAGTAGGAACCCCACAAAGAGTTCAGAGATGAACGTAGACGCAAGAATTCATGTATATAACAAAAACTACGGGGCATGAAGATATAAACCCTTTTGGTAGGCGGGAGGTGTTTGATTCATCAATATTTATCAACAGTGCACATGAAGATGTATATATTGTAAGGGCTTCGCCCGGGTGCCGCCGACCCCTTTTCAAGAGGAGTGTAGCATGTGTAACTGAAGGCGTTAGTGTCGTTCCGGTGGTTGCCCGTCTGCGGAAAGAAGATGGTGTTCTAGCCTTAGGCGTGGCCTCGGACAGGCTGACTGTGGCCTGTGCTAAAGCCCACAAAGGTGGAGATGCCAATGCCAATAAGGTTGCACTCTGCGAGGCGCCGAGAAGCGTCTGAGGGGGGCCGTCGCCTTCGGAAGCCTAGAAAAGAAGAGGCTGGCCTCGGCTGCTAGCACCGTACGTGGCAGCCCAGGCCATGCCAAGGCTGCGTGGCCTCGGACAGGCTAGCTGTGGCCTGTGCTAAAGCCCACAAAGGTGGAGATGCCAATGCCAAGGTTGCACCCTGCGAGGCGCCGAGAAACGTTTGAGGGGGGCCGTCGCTTCGGAAGCCTAGAAAAGAAGAGGGTGGCCTCGGCGGTTAGCATCGTATGTGGCAGTTCAGGCCACGCCAAGGCTGCGTGGCCTCGGACAGGCTAGCTGTGGCCTGCGCTAAAGCCCACAAAGGTGGAGATGCCAATGCCAAGGTTGTGCCCTGCGACCCCAGGATATACACCAACAACAGCAATCACAGCAGCGGCACTAAGAAGAAGACCCAGAAGCATCACAAGATCAGAAAAACCACTAGCAACAGGCAGCAAGAAGCATAGTAGCAATGCCTCTGTTCTGGCTGTGCTAATAGACTGGCGGCTGTTTGCGGGGGCCTTGTTGGACAGCCCAGGTGCTGAGCCAGCAAGGCTTGTGCTGCGGCAGCCCTGGTGCTGACCGTAGCACTTCCTGTGGACGGCCGCAGGTCTATCTGCGTGGCTGGAGAATGGCAAGCAGAAGAAGAAGAAGAAGAAGCAGAAGAAGAAGAAGAAGAAGAAAAAGAAGAAAACGAAGTAGCAATGCCTCTGTTCTGGCTGTGCTAATAGACTGGCAGCTGTTTGCGGGGGCCTTGTTGGACAGCCCAGGTGCTGAGCCAGCAAGGCTTGTGCTGCGGCAGCCCTGGTGCTGACTGTAGCACTTCCTGTGGACGGCCGCAGGTCTATCTGCGTGGCTGGAGAACAGGCCTGCCAACTGCCGAGAGAGGAGGCAGGCCTCGGACAGGCCACAGAGAGGCCGCAGCAGGCCTGCCAGCTGGCGAGGCCTCGGACAGGCCTTTGGAAGTGCTTGGAAGAGTTCTGCTAGGCTTGGCCAACTGCTTCACCCGAGGGTTTGAAGGCGGTCCAAAATGCCTAACGTCGCCTTCGGAAGCCCATAAGAAGAGAGGAGGCAGGCTTCGGACAGGCCACAGAGAGGCCGCAACAGGCCTGCCAGCTGCCGAGGAGGGTTTGAAGGCGGTCCAAAATGCCTAACGTCGCCTTCGGAAGCCCATAAGAAGAGAGGAGGCAGGCTTCGGACAGGCCACAGAGAGGCCGCAACAGGCCTGCCGGCTGCCGAGGAGGGTTTGAAGGCGGTCCAAAATGCCTAACGTCGCCTTCGGAAGCCCATAAGAGGAGAGGAGGCAGCCTTCGGATAGGCCACAGAGAGGCCGCAACAGGCCTGCCAGCTGCCGAGAGAGGAGGCAGGCCTCGGACAGGCCACAGAGAGAGGCCGCAGCAGGCCTGCCAGCTGGCGAGGCCTCGGACAGGCCTTTGGAAGTGCTTGGAAGGGTTCTGCTAGGCTTGGCCAACTGCTTCACCCGAGGGTTTGAAGGCGGTCCAAAATGCCTGGCCACAGAGAGGCCGCAACAGGCCTGCCGGCTGCCGAGGAGGGTTTGAAGGCGGTCCAAAATG